GAGCATCATTCATATCCCATTTATTTAAAAAATTTAAAGGTAAAAAGTACTTAAATTTGTAATAAAAAATTATGACTAACATACCAATTTTAAATGTCAATATATATATATATATATTTTTTATGTACTTAAAAGTTGTAGTTAAAATAAATGTGCATCTTAATTATGTTTTATATTTTCCATTAGCCAACTCCAACTGATACACACATTAATTAATTTGTCACTTCTTGACTTTTAGATTAAATGCTCGCTATATAAGCTTTCTCATCGTGTAGTCTTACCTTTTATTACGTAGAGCATCTTTCTTACTCTTGTTTAGTTGATATAATATTAATAAAGTAATTACAGACAATTCAACGAAGACAAATTTTGTTTGTATTGGAAAAATAATTACTAATTATCATAAATTAAATAATTCTTACATTAAATGTGTTATATTTTCTATCATTATCAACATATTTATAATAAATGGTTGTACACAGCATTATCTATGATTATATATTTTTTTTTATTGATTTCCAGCCATACATTTACCACCAGTGAAAGTTGATTACTTTCATCATCCTGCATCCATAGATATTAGATACATATCACCACAAGTGAAAGAAACTAAAAATAGTTTGAATTTCCTGGACCTGGTCAAATGCCAAGATATAGGTACCATTTTTTATTTTCTTTGCTTATTACTAACGATCCAATTGTAGGCTTGCAGCTCGCTTTTAGATATATGTTGGGGTTGTTTACGTGGGTCCCATCCGTGTATAATAGAGAAAACTACAAATTTGCCATTATAATGTATACTTATCCATTTATCCTTGAATAAATTACAAATCTGTCATTACAAATATGATAAAATAAGGGTTTTTTAGGTATATCATATTTTTACAGATTCATTGGCTCTTTTATAATAGTATAGATTAAATACACCGCCGACTTAATTAATGGAAATTCTTGAATTATCAAGAGTAATCAAGAGATTAATTCACTGAATAATCTGTAATAGTCGAGATGGATTTACCGACGATAGTCGATTGACATATTGATTCTGATGATAAATGGATAGATGACTCGAAAAGCTCAAATGCAAAACAGAAGATATGAAAATTGTTGAATTTGACTGAGTATGGAAGGTCATGTGGTGACAGTTGATAACTCTAATACGTAAATTGCCTCTGAAACGAATTAATTAAATTGGTACCAACATGAACGATCCTTCGCCTTGAGCTCCGATGACCTACAAAACACTTTGGGGAAGGGTCCCGGCAGAATACCTCTGACACTCAAGCCAGATTAATCTCGCTCGTGAATATACTGAAAATTGTATGCAAAAGATGCAATGATGCTTTATGTAAAAGTAAAACCTTGTAACCCCTTGTATACCTAGGTTATCCTCTTGCCTAAGTAGAGTACTTGCTAGGAAAGGAATCCAACAATATTTTATTTCCTAACTTAACATGTCCATGAAATCTTAGATTCCTTACCAAGATACAATTACCATCATAAATAGGATTATATTCCCCACTAGAGGTCCCTAGATCGTCCCAACGACCTCATGATGACCCATCTACCATAGGCTCTTACTAGGTTGAACCTCGACCTTTTCCTGCACGACTTCTAGGTCTTAATATTCTCTCATCCGTCAAAGTTCTTAGAGGAGCTCGACCCTCAATCATTTAGTTAGGTCGACCTATACCCTGAGCTGTCGAAGCGAGCTCTTTGATGAAATCAAGCACTGATACCGAGTTGAAGCTCCATTGAACTGGTCGTACCCGAGCTAACTACTCAGGCCTGTTCACTGAGGTATTCTGGGTGCTATATCATCTAGCTCTCACATTCTTGAACGGGCTGATAGAGATTCGCAACATAATGCGTCGTCATTGCACCCAACCTGTCTTTTTTGCTTTAAATGCCAATTATTAGCCGACCCAAGGAATTGCACCTGCCATAAACTTTTTAAAACCCTAAAGCACCAGTTATCCTGGATCGTTTCTCTCCACTAGATCAACGCTCACCAAAAGCCGACCTTTTGACATCTGTCACCTCATCAACCTTCTCTGGTCAATCCAGACCATCGGTGTTGCACATGATCCAACGGCTTACCTTCGACCTCAGATATCATGCCTTACCGTTTCTTCTATAATAACCCCTTCATACCTCCAATTGCAACTTTTCACACTATATATTCTTAAAGCTTCCCCTGCAAAAGATATTCCGCGACTACAGTGACTTCCGACGACCTATAACCAAAAAATCTCAACTATATACATGCTCACCCCATTTGATATTCATGGATATTTTCACCATTTGCTCAATTCTCCTTTTTACTGTATTCTCTCTTTTTTGGTAAGTTTGTGCCTTTTTTGTTTTTGTTTTTTTTTTAAAAAAAAATTTGTGGGTTTCTGGCAATCGTTTGCCACATTTCTGTCAAAATTTCGGCCATTATGTCGAACTCCACCTCACCGACCTCTTCTTCTCAGCCCCTAGATGAACAGTCTAGGAACTTCTTTATGGCTTGTATTGACTCTATATTAGATAGCCATAGTCATGAGAACCAGATCGGACCAGTTGGACCGAGAATCAGCCATGTCCAATCTGCTTCTCTTGAAAAAGTTGGTTGCGAAAGAATTTTCCAACAACCGATCTTTAAACCCTCCGAATCAATCAAAAGCCAAACGGTCGAAACGGTTCTTATTTTCATTTTTTTTATATATAATTATCTTTAATACTAATTTTTATTTTTTTATATATAATTATCTTTAAAAAATTTTATATAAATAAAACATATATTTACATATGTTTCATAAATTATTATACCAATTAGCTACGACAACCAGATGTTTCAAATTATTTACTAAAATTAATAAAAGATGTTCTTATATATACAATTTACACTAAAAATATTAATAAATCAAATATTGGTACAACTGGTTCAACCATTTGTTCGAGCAATGAAAATTTCAACTGACAAATTTACTGGTCGGTCCGGTTTTCAGAACCTTGCCTATAACAACTCCATTCCATGAGGCTCAAGTAGGGCTGCAAATGAGACGAGCCGAGTCGAGCATTGGCCTTATCGAGCAGAATTGAATTTCTTTTTTTAGCTGCTCGAGCTCGTCGAGCTCGATTTATGAGGCTCGAGCTCGACTTAATAAAAAAATACAAGAGCTCGAGCTCGGCTCGAGTTCGGTTCGAAATTTTTCGAGCAAAATAACCATTAAATACATATATATGCAAGGGTATTTTAGTAATTTCATATATCTTGAGCCACTCGCGAACCACTCGACCATGTAAAAGATGGGCTCGAGCTCAAGCCGAGCTTTGACTCGAGCGCTCGCGAGCGGCTCGCGAGCTGCTCGACTCGTTTGCAGCCCTAGGCTCGAGTATGGACATGTCATCACAGGTCATTCTGGAACCCTAGCTATGGCCACCTGTATCTCGATCAGGTCATTCGAGGACCCTATCTCGAACTACATGTCTAACAACTAAATCTATTACGACCTCCACACTCTTTTACTTCATCCAAATTCCAAGTACAAATTGTTCTTCTCCAACAGAATCTTATTAAGGTACAAGGTGTTTGATTCAAAGCATGATGAAATTCAAATGTAACCCAAAAAACAAAGCGTACGTGCAAAACCATGTGCAACAATTACACACAAAGCCATATGTCCCAGGACAGAAACACATGTAATGCAACTCAAACGGATTCTACTTTTCCAAACAATACACATACCCGGATTTTTAGTTATATATTAAAAAGGGAAAAAAAATAAAATAAAAAAAACTCAAAACAGAGAAAGTAGAAAATCCCTAGAGCTTCAAGAAATGGAGTTCCTCCACCTCCTGGGCCCCTTCCGGGGCACGAGGTCCGGGCCCCCCGGCTCCTGGTGCTGCGCGGGGCCCACATCATTCGTCCTGGCGAGGCGGCTGAGCTTCTTCCACCCGCTAGTCCATGCGGACGAGTGCTTGGGCTTGAGCGCGGCCCGGTCGAGCTGGCGCTGCAGGGCCTCCACCTCTCCTTGAAGCTCCGCGTACTTGGATTTCACGCTGTCGAGCTCGAACTTGA